TGCATACATGTATTTAGTGACTGTTTGGGTAGGTAGAGTGCCGTAGACTCCTCCCCCACATTTAGTGTGGGTCTGGTCTACTAGAGAATACCTACCCAAACCGCCCTCCCCCGTCCATCCTCCCTACTTTGGCTCCGACCCTTTCATGTCGCTTTCAAAAAGGACGATCATGGCGGCAAAGCAGCATTGCATCGTGGGTGGTCAGGGTGCACTACGCTTGATTAAATCCTTTCAGTGAACAATAATAGGTGACTTGGGCCGGCATGACTATCATTTTTTCAGTTTTCAGAATCCTTCAAAAATTCATCATTTCATTTAACGGTCATTTATAGCCGCATGAAGTAATCTTTAGGCACTACTCTAAGTTGACAGGTGAACTTCATTGATGCCCGAGTATTTCAACCTGGCCTGCAGCTTTGTAAACAGAGCCCAGATTGTGCGATGTTATGTAACTTTCTTTTGTTCATGAACCTGGCTCTGTGCACTGCTGACCTCTTTTCAATAGGGGCCAGATTAGTGTGCAAGGGTGCTGTGTGGCTCATCACTGCGGTGGTGGAATGCTTTTGTCCCCAGTGATAATCCGCTTGCTCTCAATGCCCCAAACCCTGGTATACAGTTTTAAAACAAGGCTGGATTATCACCACTTTTGCGAGTGAAAAATGCCGATAATGCCCAGCAGCCTGGTCTTTTGTTTGGAGTACGGTCTTTTGTTACAGGGCCCTGTTTCCTTTGTCCGGGTTCAGAGACCCCGGCCACACATATAAACCATACGGCTCCGATTTCGGAGTCCCCGGCTGGTAGTGGTTAACTTCATCCAAGAAGCCTTTCCTTAGCGTATCCATTTAAAACTCGCGGCAAGCCGACCAATTTAGCAGGATCATGGAAACTGCATGAGCACAACGGGAGTGAACATGAAACGCGTGTGACCATGGAGCATCCTGATTTTTTGACTGATGGCCTCTTGCACCCTCATGCTCACAGCAATGCAAATAGTTTTGCAAAAATACCAGGTACCCTTCTCAAAAGGTCCAAACCCAAACTGTCCAAATTATCAGGGCACAGATTCATATTCACTCTGTAAACCATCTCAACACTTCAGATGTCAAAACTACTGATGGAGTTGCTACTTTCCACATATTCACAATGTATATTTGTAATTTACAATTTGTTATAAATGAAAACAGCAAATTATAAACTCTAAATTTACATGTAGCAGCCATCTGTTACAAGTACTATGTTCAAAAACTGTACAGAATTTGTGCTGAGATGTAGTGCACAGTAGCTGGGTGCATGTCTGAAGCACCAATCCCAATGAGGGCCTAACACCAAGCTAAGACTGAGTATTTGAAACCAAGTCTAAGTCTTTGCCCTAGTCATGTGCACCCATGTACACACATGTACGATATACAATTTTACAAATAAAAGTAGCAATTTAAATAAGTGGTTTCAAAAATAATGTTGGTCCATGTCATGTCAATTCAACAACTGCTAGCATGTCCATATGCATGTGCATTTACATGTTAGTATTCAAAGCCTCTATTGAGATACATGTGCATGTAAAAGCAGTTTTAAAATGTGGAAGCCACCTTTAAAATGTCAATTTAAAAACTTCTTAATTGCAAATAATTAGGTTTTCAAAGTTTATTGCTGACCACATAAAGTAATATAGAGGCAGCGCTTGCGGGCCCGCTGGGGGCGGACCCTGACGATCCGGAGGGGAAAGACTGGTCTCCCGGTAAGGGATGGATTGGATCAGCTTGTAACACAGGTCATCAAATAATCACCTCCAATTTATTCGTCAATGGAAAGAAAACCCTATAAATTAATACAAAAGCATGAACCCTAATTAATTACATAAGTGCTTTAGTTGATTCACGGGCAATAATTAAACAACAATGACATCAAATGCAATGGTGTACGCAAAAGACGTTCTGTAATGGTATGAGTGCGTACTGCTTATACATATCACACATAATATATAGAAGCGAATATGCTATTTTAGCTAACAGCACAACCCAATTTTCTATTCACAGTGGCTTTGGGGGCTTTATGCAAATGCACTGACCACGTGACGGTACAGCGTGAAAATGATGTACATGTCA